CTCCAATGCAGTGCTGGGAGGGGGTGTTGCATTGTTGGAAGTGCTGTCCTTCAGATGAGACGTTAGAACCAAGGTCCCGTCTGCCTGTTCAGGTAGACATTAAAATCCCATGGCCCGACTTAAAAAGAGAAGGGAGTTTCTTCCAGTGTCCTGACCAACAATCCCTCAAGTAAGTCACTTATTTCATGATAATAATACTTGCATTTCATATAGCGCTTTATCACGTCTTTGAGACGTCTCAAAGCGCTTCACAGAATATAATGTAAAGTGAATTGATTGTGTATTTTGTGGGCAATTGTGCACAACAGTGTCCCACAAACAGTCGTGGATTGAAGTGACCAAATTTTTTTTTTTTTTTTTTTTGAAGGATTTATTATCCCCAGAAAAGCGATCTGCCAATCGACTAACAACGGGGTTCCTACTTACTGCTAGGTTAAACAGAGGCATGTGGTGTCAGGAAATTTGCCTAACGTTTCATGCTGCCGGGAATCAAACCTGGGTCCTCTCGCTTGCAAGGCAAGTGCTCTAACCATCAAGCTCATAGCTGTTTGTGTGACGTTGATGGATGCAAGCTGGCTGCCCACAAAATATACAGCAGCGCACATTACAGTAGACCCATGAAGTGCTTTGGGAAGTGATCCTGACAAACTGTCATGGTGATGATGCTGATGATGCTCTCAAGCTGAGCTGCTCACCAGGCAGCTCAATGGGAGTTCTGAGCACCAACTATCCTAGTGAGGGTTCAAACCTGCACTTGCAGGATATCCTATTACCAACTAGTGACTATCACCCTGCTTCCCCCCTGCCCTCCACCCTCCCCAATCCCAAACCCAGCTCAGGTCCGAAACACTGACTGACCAGCACCTTGGGATGTCCTCCCGATGTGAAAGGCACTATACAAATGTAATTTTGTTGTTATTGAGCTCCAGGACTCCACTGTAGCCCTGTAAGAAATTACTGAGTTAAAATGTTCTATTGTAAGGGTTTATCGAAGTCTGGTTTGATAGCAATTTCCCATTAGTCCCTCAAAGTGTTTCGCTTGAGATTGTAAGCACTTCTTAATCCGTTGTTCACTTTTAATGAATGCAATTTCAATCGCACCAAACTCATCCACAAGGAATTGTTGAGTCACTCTTTAGTCATTCTCTATCTGGAAAGAATCCGGAATTACATCTTAACTACTATCAGAACAGCTCAACACTGAGCACATCAGCAATATGTTGGGTTTGTCAAATGAATTTACATTTATTTATTTTAGAATATTGAGCATCCCCCCACCCCCAAGACAAATGTGGTTCATTACATTCAATTACCTATTCTGTTGTGTTAAAAAAAAATCAGTTGTTGCTGGATTTCTATTTGCAACACAATCAAAATGGAAACTTGTGAAAATACTACAGTGCTTAAAACACAATACAATTGACATTTATATAAAGCCTTTCATGTTGTATATAGCTCCTTTCACGTTGGAAGGCTGTCTTAAACTGCTTCACAAGGCTGACTGTGCACCTAAGCCAGGGTGGGGGCAAAGAGAAGCCGAAGAAAGAGTGTGAGTGAGGGAGGGGGAGTCGGGGAAAGAAAAATGACAGCCAGCATGGTCAATAAGAAAGGTTTTAAAATTGGAAGGACTCCAGGATGGAATTCCGCCAAGCGGGGCAGAATGGCTGAAAGCTTACACGCCAATGTGGGAGGGGGATACCGGAAAGACGCGGTGATGGAGGTGATGTTGTGGAGCTGATGGGAAAACTGAGAAAAATGATAGACCAAATCTAGGGTTTGAAAGATAGTTGGGTGTCAAACAAGAAAATTCCATTGGGAGAATATTTGGGGATATAAAGCATAGATATAGAACGATGCCGTATTATTATTATAACCCCTGACCATCAATAGCTAAATGTTATCACTTCATAACAACTAATGCAATGGAATGAATGATTTAAGCATAGCTTTAAGAGACCTTTTTAAAAATAAGTGTGTTTGCCAGCGTTCCACATACAATCAACCAATAGATACAGTTTGGCCATACAACAGGAAAAAAAAAACCAATTTTTTTTAAAATGGAATATATTTTCTGAAACAGAAAGATTGGAATATATTTTCAAATCTATTTTCCTATCTTCATGCTTTAAAATTACACATTATCGTGTGTATTCTAATGTCACTGCAATTGGGACAAAAAATTGAACTCGTTCTAAGAATTGATTCTGAAAGGGCCATTGAATGTATATATTTTTTCCCTTTTTTAAGATTATACATCGTTCTTTTTAATGTACTTTATTCTAATTAGTTCTTAAGAAGATAGTTCAATCTCCAGCTAAGGTTTAACAATAGGCTCCAGTGATCCACAGAAACCATCTTTGGAATATGCCTGCTTTGCAATTTGCTTGTGGACTAACTGAATGGTATTAAAAAAAGGCAACTCATTTTACAGTTTAGTTTCAAGTACATTAAGCCTTCAAAATTCTGTCTCACAATAACAATTTATACAGTCAATACACTTAATAGTAACTACTGTAAAGTGCTTTAAGACGTTGAGACATAATAGGTGCTATCAAATACAACAATTTTTATTATTTATTATATTGTAGTCGCATTAAAACTGCACCTACATTTGATCAACCACCCATTTTTAATCCTACAAATAATAGCTGCAATGAACACAATCACGTACTCAGCTAAAATAGTTTTCTGGTACTGAAAATATATCTAAGCGCATAATAATTTGGTCCTAATGTGAGACTAAAATTATTAACTCCACATGAGAATAAGACAGGAGGAATAAAGCTATTATTAGTTTACGTGCACACTAAAGAGTTAATACAAGGAAAGAAACTCACATGTACACCTACTGCATGAAAATAATTAGCTGTTAACTGGTTACGTGCTAACCTGCTTGGATAGGGAAAACAAATGATCTACTTCTGCACTGTACAAAAATAAAGCTACAATTCCTATCATTATAAGACAGTTTAAAAATTCAGAGCATGCTTACTGGGACTTACAATTCTTTCCCAGATTGAAATAGCAACGGTTCTGAAATCTAAGATTTTCCTTTCCCGGGTGCAGGCACATAGAAAATACATCTGAAAATTAACAGTTCCTTGCATTTGTCACTGAAAGATGATTAAAAAAAGCTCACGAGCCACATCTAGTGGCAGTATTCAAGTACTTCAAGAGTATAGCAGAGTAAACCTGTGCATTTTGATATTCGTCACATTCACGACCAGTTCACAACCAAACAAAACCTCCCCGTTTGCAATACAAATGTACAATGCAATGAAATAAATATTCCTCAGACTGAATTTTATTCAACTGATTTCAATGGAATGTAGAACCTATAACAAGTTTTAAATGTTAATTTGCTTCAATATTAACGCACTTCTTTGTTTCTTCCCCCCCCCACTCCCCCACACGGTACATAAACTTGTCCTAATCTTTCATCTCAGGTAGTCAAATAATTGAACCATCACAAAAAAACACTACTCAACTCTTTAACCCACAGAAGCACCTTTGGATGCCTTGCCAGTATTTTCCACATTATCACCTTTTCGATATGGTAGTACCTTTGTAAGCAAATCCCTGGACTCTATATTATAGAAAGTTTAAAATGAGGAAATGTTTAAATTAAGTCGCTGTTTTAAGTTACATTTCTGACAATGCAGAAATTGAAAAACTTATTCTATGTCCATGGAAATGAACACCCTGACTTAAAGGTTGCGCATTGCATTTCATGGGGAAACCTCTATGGGCTAACGAGTTAACTGGTATTTTACAAATACACAACATTACAGAAAATATTCCACAAACACTTCAGTCATGGGTTTGTTTAAAAAATAAAAATTGTATTTCCAAAATGCTTCCTATGCCTTGGCTGAGTAAATTGCTGTATTCTACGCACAGCACATTTAAAACAAAATAACTAACAAAAGAATAATATTAAGTCCAATACTTTGGTGTGCTTTGAAATCTCTGCACTAATCCTTTAAGGGCACACTATTTCTACAGATGGAAAGAAAGGTTTATGAAAATGCAACACGGCAGACCAATTATCTGCTTGCTTTCCACTAATGGCAGCTTTGTAGTTTGTGAAAATAATAATCTTTGCATGAGATGTGGCTCGTTATCACATCTTCGAGATGTCTCAAACTCATCACAGAATATACTGTAAAATGAACTGACTGAATTTTGTGGCAGAAACGCAGCAGCCAATTGCAAACAGTCCTAAATTGAGTGACCAATTTTTTTTAAAAAATTCAAAAAAGGGATTATTTCCCCCAGAAAAGCGATCCGTCAATCCACTAACAAGCAGATTCCTACTTACTGTTAGGTGAACAGAGGCATGTGGAGAAAGAAAACTTACCCAACGTTTCGCCCTGCCCGGGAATCGAACCCAGGTCCTCTCGCTTGCGAAGCGAGTGCTCTAACCACTAAGCTACAGGACTCCACAAATGGATGCTCAAATCTTACTTCTAATTCAACAAAATTCTGTCAGTTGCACAAATTATCAGGGTAAGGGTGTCTCCCACCATGGGGTAAAATTAAAGCACAATTTTGCCTCATGGAAAAAAAAACAGCAGGAATAGGAGGAGGAGGATTGCTTTTAATGGAAGCACAATTTTTAAACTAAATGCTTATTGTAACACAAGTACAAATATGTATATTTACAACTGTTTTTTCTCGGTTTGGAGGTTTTATTTATCTCAAACACCTGAAACATAAGAACCTGAGAAACTGTTGCAATCGTTGAGGACAACTCAGCTAAACAGTACCTATACTCTACTGGATCTTCCTCTGACCTATCAATCTACTCTTTTTTTTGTGCAAGGGAGACACGAATCCTTAGCACCTAACACCTCAGGTGCAAAATGGCCACTGAACACCTGAAGTGCACAGTCACACAATCTCATTATTAAAAGTACATATGCCAGCAAATAAAAGCTCCAGCTGCCAAAGTAGTGACCGCACCAGCGCTAATGATATAAGGTTTCCAAAATAACCACCTTTTTCGTTTCATCTCAGTTTCACTTTGCTTCTGTTTCATTCGTTGCACCTGCTGAGCTGTGTTTGCTCTCCTGTCCTCGCGGAGGCGTTTCCGAAGGTTACTGAAATGCAGAAATAAGAAACGGATAAACAAACAAATGCAGCATGTGAAAGCACAAATCCGCAGTTCCACAGGAACAAGGACCTGCAACTTTGATGGCTTTACTGAGGACTCAAACCAGCTGCATCACTGTACGGGGAAGTTTTGAACAGATCAGACACTTCCGTATTTGGAAGAATAAATGAAGGACAACCAGGTCACTGTGGCACTCCATCAATATGGAGCCGCAATGCAGAAGTCTGGGAACATGTCACCCCCAGATGATGAACGGTTCGGGTGGGGGCTATTATATAGTCCAAGGTTGATTTGCAATAGAAACAATATATGCAGCAATTATTTTCAGATGAAACCCAATTTCCCTACATTTTTCAACGATTAATTCCATTAAAGAAATACTAAAACTGAAACTTGGAAACACAATTGGGATCAGGGCAGACACTTCCTTTCAGGCCATGAAATTAAAGGAAAGTTAAAGGGATGGGTGTCAACCATGGGTATGATCTTCCTCAGATTTTGAATGAAACAAATGTGGGCAGAAACAAAAAAAGTTCACATTTACCAAGTAAAGAATATAAACCACGTATAGACCAAACTAACTTAGAGAATTAACAGAAGTCATCAATAAAGTCTTCAACTCATTATGATTTTGATCTCAAAAGACTAAGACCAAAAATTCCATGGTCTTAAAATACTAAATTATGCAGAATTGAGTAAAATTCTTAAATAGTCAATTTGGAAGCCTTAATTTAGGAACTATGGCTAATCAAGACTAAATTTAATAATTTTGCATGATTCTATGTGATTTTAAATTGTAAGACAAAATGGTCTTTGGACCTCAGTTTCAGGCCTCAGCAGAGCAAAACCTTAGACAAGTTTCCTTACTCCACACACCTCTCTTTACCTAGCAGTAAATAGGAATCCGGTTGTTAGTCGATTGGCAGATCGCTTTCCGGGGGGTAATTATCCTTCCCCCAAAATTTTTTAATAATAATTTGGTCACTCAATTCACGAGTTTGTGGGATATTGCTGTGCACAATTGGCTGCTGCGTTTCACCCACAAAATAGTCAATTAATTTCACAGATATATTCAGTGATGTGCTTTAAGACGGTTCAACGACTTGATAAGGTGCTGCATCAAATGCAAGGATTATTATTATTACTTCCTACCTCCTGTTGTGCCTTCTTCCATCTCTCGCACTACAGTACAAACACTTATCTCAAATGATGCTCAACGTACTGGGCTTGGGAAAGACCGGCTGTCAAAAAGTTATTCTAATGCGTGTCTGCAACAAGGTAGTGAATGTCCACGCTAGCGCTTGGGATCTGATACTAATTGGTTAGAGATTTGGTTCTAGTTCCACAGTGTTAACCGTGACGTCAACTAAAGTTCCCCAAACATTTGGCTGAACTCACAGAACTGCAGAACACCACAGCACTTGCTTCCAGAAGTGACCAGACTTGGACTCTCCACACCCGGGTAAATCATTACGTCGTCAATCAGCTGGGAATACTTGTAGGAGCAAAAACTGGGGAAACAAATTATTTTCCTGCAGCAAAAAAAATTTCACTTACTGAAATTTGTGGTCCTCGTTTTCTTGTTTCACGTAAGAAGCTTGTTCCATGGGGGATTTTGTTTCTGAATCGTTTGCTTCCATGGTCGACAAACCAGTAGTCTTGTTCCCGTTGTACCGTACAACTGTGCTTTCTGGAGGCTGGGGTGGTGGAGGCGAACGCACATTCACAGGATTTGGATTCTGATCAGAAAGTGGTTTCCACCTTTTCTATAAAAATACAGAGAATTAGAAACTGTTTAGTCCCGGTCTCGATCAGGAAATAAAAGTGCACCAAATTCAGAACATTGCCGAAATACACAGTCTTGCCCACAAAATACAGTTAATAAACTTTACAGTATATCCTGTGCAGTGCTTTGAGACGTCTTGACAACATGATAAGGCCCTATATCAAATACAAGAATAATAATACTTGCATTTGATATAGCATCTTATCACATCATTGAGACGTCTCAAAGCACTTCACAGGATATACTGTGGATGAAATCTACTTTGTGGGCAAAATATCATCATTACACATAGACAAGTGAAAAAGCAACAAGTATTTATTGGATGAATTTTCTTGCTAATTTTCTTATCCGTGGTAAGGTCTCTGCATTAACTTTTTGTTAATTAATTCATCAGAGGTAAATTATTTCATTTTGTCCACAAAATATACAGTCAATTCACTCTGTGAAATGCTTGGAGTCATCTCAATGACTTGATAAGGCGCTATATCAAATGCAAGGATTATTATTATTATTTCCCAAAGTACTTTTTTACCTTCTCCCAATCCAACCTTTATATTCAACATGATAACAACAGTGTCCCATACTTCTCCTTCAATCCATTACCCACCCATCAATAAAAATAAGCCATTGTTCTACAGTTTGATCTTATAACCCAGAAAAAAATCGAAATTTTAGAATGTAAAATCCATATATTTTGGAGTCAGAATTAAAACTCACCATCTAATTGATCAAAAAATGGTTCACCGATCAGAAAGATTTTAAGAATAAATGTGTTGCATTTTTCTACAAGTGCTAAAGCTTTTGCTAGAGTACATATTGAAGCACTGTAGTCTGTTGCGCGTTAATAAACCATTGTATTGACATCTACATGGAAAACAGTTGGGACAAAATATCTGAATGTTATTTCTGAAACTGGATGTTGGCTAGGCTGACGAGCTTTTACTCAATGAACACAACATAGTAAGTGTTGGTCAGACCGTTGATCCATCTGCGGATAAAATAATCCTTGTATTTAGTGCAACGCCTTATTGTGTTTCCTACTACGTTTTCACTAAAACTAACTGTAGATGTAAAGGACTTAGATACAAATATTTTTGCAATTGAATGGCCCGCCTCGCCAGTACCACAGATTTTATTTAAACCAGTTTGGAATGTCAGGCAACACAGAAAGATTGGGTTTTCAAAAGGAGGAATTCACGGTGTTACACTGTCAAAAAATACAAAATACAGAGTCCAGTTGATCTTTACCTTCCCAGAAGAGTCTCCCTTGATGCGCTTTTCTCCCTCTATAACTGCAATATAAGAGAATCTCAACTGATCTGCAGTCTGAATAAGTCCCATCCGATCTTTCCTCATTCCTAGAAGTACTTTTTTAATGTCCACAGATGAAGGGTTCTTGCGTTTTTCCATCTGTAATAAAAATAACCCATTCAGCAGAACTTCATATTGCTTCTTTCACCTGAACATCTAGTACCGTAATATAGACCAAACAGTAAAGTAACATTTTGTTCAGTTTTGTTTATCTATCCCAACAGCAGTAAGTGATCAGAACAGTTTTGAACAGAATTTTGAATAACACAATAGTAAAATGTCTTGAAAAATTAACATGAGGTTCACAAAGCAGTGTTTGATGGAAGTTCATACATAATGGTAGAGTTTCTGATTGGGACTGGCCAGATGTAAAATAAAGATTTGTTTCCAATCATAGAAATGTTCAAAATTATGAGGGGTTTTGATAGAGCAAATAAGGAAAAAACTGTTTCCTCTGGCGGGTGGGTTGGTAACCAGAGTACACAGACTCAAGATAATTGGCAAAAGAACCAGAAGGAGGAAGAATTTTTTTTTTTTTTTACGCAGCGAGTTGTTACAATCTAGAATGCACTGCCTGAAAGGGTGGAGGGAGCAGATTCAATAATAACTTTCAAAAGGTAATTGGATGTATAGTTGAAAAGAAAAAAATTGCAAGGCTATGGGGTAAGATTGGGGGAGTGGGACTACTGTGCTATAGGATTCAATGATTCATATACAATTTTGCTCTCAATCACATTTTTAAATCTGTTGATATTGCTTCAATATTCCCAATTGTAACAACTCAATCCATGACGGTTTGTGGGACACTGCTGTAAGTAATTGTGTGCCACGTTTCGCCCACAAAGCACACAGTCAAGTCACGTTACAGTATATTCTGCAAAGCGCTTTGAGATCTCGACTATGTGATAAGGCGCCATATCAAATGCAAGAATTATTATTATGATTAAACAACTGCATTATGATTTGGATCTCCCTCACTGCTCCAAACATCTCACTCAAACTCCCGTATGACTCTCCTACTCCCTCCACCCACTCACAGGCCTGAAATTTATCCAGCTAATCTTCCGCTCTTTGTCTCTGCATGCCCCTATGGCTGCCAGAGTTCCCATCCCTTGCCCCTCCACCCCCCTCTTTTCTCCCTCCTCCCTTCCACCCTCCTTTTCTTCTCCTTGCCCAAACATTTCTTGTCCCCACCCCATCCTACTTCGCTCCTGCCACCCACCTTACCTTTTCTCTCTTTCTCTTGGACCATTCCACAACCTCCTTCTGCTCAGGTCTGGGCAACCTCTGCCGTGCTCACTACGTGCTAATGGCTTTACCGGAGCATTCCCCCAACCATAAGGTCCACCAGTTTCTCTCTCTCGCTCTCCCCCCCACCACTTCCTGTGTGAACCTCTTTTCACTCATCCTGATTATCTCGTTCATCCAGTTCGCCAGACTCAATCAGCGAGCTTTCAGCCATTCTGCTCCTGCTTTCTGAAACTCCCAACCTTGCCCCTCTCTACCGTTAAAACCCACATTTTTGGGGGTCAGGTATCTACCAGGTATCTGACACATGCGGAAACCCATACTGTGCTTAACAATATCCAAACCAAACTGAGAATTCCACGCCTCCCATCTACACATGGAAATCCCAGAGATAAGAGTGTTGGAATGGAATGCGCTCTCTCTCCCTGGAAGGACACATCCTGTTTACCTAATTCTGGCAAGCATTGGGTTCAGGTTGGGGACCTGAGAGTGTGTGTTGGAGTGCTGCTGGAATCTAACCAGCTAAAACAGTGTAGCTTGTCATTGATAGCACGGTCTGGAAAGCTTTCCAACGATAAGCCACCTTAAAAACTCTCTTTAAGCACATATTTGGTCTCTTTCCAGCATCCCCAACTTCTTCAACTCCCCCCACCTCCAGCTCTGGCTCCCAGTCAGATTGGGGAAGCACTCAAGACATGCTCCTGTCATGAAAGGCACTTCTATACATAAATGTAAATTTGTTACAAAACACTGCAGATGCTGGAAATCTGAAACAAAAACAGAAGTCGCTAGGAGCACTCAGCAGGTCAGGCGGCATCTATGGGGAAAGGAAAGTGAGTCAACGTTTCGGGGCCACGATCCTTCATCCGTTCTGACGAAGGTTCTTGGACCCGAAACGCTGACTCACTTTCCTTTCTCCATAAATGCCACCTGACCTGCTGAGGGTTCCCAGTGACTTCTGTTTTTGTTTTCAATGTAAATTTGTTGTACTCACCAAAAGAAGGCAGGTATCTACCAGCGAGAAGGTGCCAGATCGTCCAATGCCCGCACTGCAGTGAACCACGGCTGGTCCATGTTCAGAATTCAAAGAGCCAGACTCTCTTACAAGGAACAGAAAGCTAAGGAATGAAGCAGGCGAGTCTGGTACTCCAAAGTCAGGCCATGTTGTATAGTGGAAGTGGAAAATCTCTCTTGTTTCATTAGTCTGTTGATAGAAGTCAATAATAACAAACCCAAATTAAAATAATAATCCTTGTGTTTGGTATAACGCCTTATCGCATCAGCAGGATACATTACAAAATGATATCTGTAAAGTGCCTTTCATGTCGGGAGGATGTCCCAAGGATGCCGAACAGTCGGGGGGTGGGGCTGGGGGTGGGGGTTGGGATCAAGGAGGGTGGAGGGCACAGAGGGTGGCCGAAGGCACGGTCGAAGCGGAGAGTCTTGAGTTGTGCCTTGAAGGAGGCAAGAGAGGGAGCAAAGCAAAGGGAATGTGGGATGGAGTTCCAGAGGGTGGGGCAGAGAGGTTGAGTGCCCGACCACCGATGGTGTGGCGGTCGGAGCTGCTGGGTAGACACGTTGATAAGGGGTTAGCAGGTCAGAGAGGTAGGGGAGGGGCAAGGCCACAGAAGGCCTTGAATGTGAGGACAAGGATTTTGAATTCAATCCTCTGAGGGATGGAGAGCCAGTGGAGCTGGGCGAGGGTGGGGGTGATGGGATCACAAAGCCTGGTGCAGTAAAGGACACGAGCTGCAGAGTTCCGGATGATCTGCAGCTTGTAGAGGGAAGAGTTGGAAAGGCGACAAGCCTGGCATTGGCATAGTGGAGCCTGGATGTAATGGAAGGCATGAATGAGGGGTTCAGCAGCCTGAGGGGTGACGCAGTGGCAGAGTCAGGCGATGTTGCAGAGGTGGGGGAAGGCAGATTGGATAATGGCATGAATGCAGGGGAGAAAGGATAGTTGAGGGTTGAACAAGACACCAAGGTTCTGAACTGGCTCAGTGAGGTAGAGCGTGCATCCTTGGACGCTGATGCTGCCAATGCCTGAGGTGCGGAAGAGAGTCTTACCTCAACCTTCAAGGTTGCATGGCAGCCAATTACCCACAAACAGTCATACATTGAGTGACTAAATCATCATTATTATTTTATTAGTTTATTTGAAGGGATTATTACTCCTGGAACGTGATCTGCCTCAGTCTTGCTGACGTTCAACTGTAGAATGTTGGCTCTCATTCAGGCAGAGAGATAGAGTTGGGTATCATCCGCGTACATGTGGAAGTTGATCCCATGTCTGCGGATGATGTCGACAATATGGAGCAAGTACAGGTTGAAGAGGAGAGGATAGAGCCTTGAGGAACACCACACAAGACGGTGCGGGGGCTGGAGGAGAAGCTGTTTGTGATAAGAGATAGGATCTGAACTGTTCAAGGATAGAACCTTGAAGGTTGAGGTAAGAGGAGAGGCAGTGGAGGAGGATAGAACTGAATAGAATTTTGAAATCCCAAACCATTCGCAAGCCTAATCTAAAGATACAGTTTGGTTAATTGAATACCGGATATACATATAATTCAGTTTATTGCATGATATTCCCAGTGTCCATTTATATAAAAGCCAATTAATAAACTCAGAGTCCCAAATCACTACCTTCTACAATACAACCTGAATGTCATGGACATCCTCTCCTCCTACCCCCAACCCTTACCCCACCCTCCAGAGATTGGTCGGTTGGCCACACACGAATGGGGTCCAAGGCCATGTGGCTCAAGCTCCTGGACACGAGTCTCCTCTTTTATGCTTATGTGAATAGTTTGGCTTATTGAATAATTATCACTGACAAATTGAGTTCTGGCCACAAAATATAGTCAATTCACTTTACAGTATTCTGTGAAGCGCTTTGAGGCATCTCAACAACGTGATAACATTTTTTTTTAAAAAAAAGCTTGAAAGACTGCAACACAAATTATAATAATAATCCTTGCATTTGATATAGCGCCTTATCACATCATTGAGACGTCTCAGAGCTTCACAGGATATACTGTAAAGTGTGTGTATTATTTGTGTGTGTATATTAAAAATATATAAAATATTTGGCAAAACATGGCAGCCAATCACCCACAAACAATCATACATTGAGTGACTGCATCATCATTATTATTTTATTTATTTATTTGAAGGGATTATTACTCCCGGAAAGTGATCTGCCAAATTGACTAACAACCAGGCCCCTATTTACTGCCAGGTAAACAGAGGCACATCAAGTAAGGAGACTTGCCTCAGGTTGCGCTCTGCCCGGGAATTGAAACCAGGCCCACTCACTTGTGAGAGGAACGCACTAACCACTGCGATACAAGGACTCCTCAAAGCAGGTTAAATGACCATTACCACATGTATAGACGCCTATTCCACTTCAACTTACAGAGAGTTTTTTCAGCTGTAGCTGTCGGACAGTGTAGTGCGATTGAACATCTTCTGACAATACCCTCAGCTGAAACCCAGTATCTTCAAACGTCATCTCACCAGTTTCTGTGCTCGGCCAATATTGTTCACATTTTACCTGCAGTGCATAAAGAAGTCATACATTACTAAAACTGGTATGGATATTAGTTATGATTTTAATGGCTTTCAGGAAATATTCTTAAATTAATGTGTACATGTAATTCAAATAATCAGATTTCTGAACGTGAAATGTCTTGTTTTGGGGCAACACCAGCTTTTCACATTAGCATTTAACAGAAACACAATGCTCAACATTTAATGAGGAAAGATGTGTCTTTGTTTTCAGATTTCCAGCATCTGCAGTACTTTGTGTTTTGCTCAACATTTAATACTGTCCTACATACTCTTCCACTCTGAATTTGAAATGCAGAAATATAATGCAGGGGAAGATGTAATCAATGGATATCCTCAATCTGAATCAAATTGTTATCCATGTCCTTTTAGTGAAAATAATACAATGAAAAGATTAAAACAACTAACAAAGAAGTAGAAAAAAACTGAATTGACCTAAACATAAGCACAGAACATGCACAAGAAACTTGAGCAAAGAGTGGGAGAGAAAGGAAATTTTAAACAAAAAGGACACCAAAAGTAGAAGAATTTGAAGTTTGGGATTTAATTAAGGCTAGCTTTGAAGGCACAAGAAAGGAGGGAAGGTATATAAATGCAAGTTGTTGTTGCTGAATTAACCAGAAAAAGCAGCGGGAATTAGGAAACCAATTGACAAACAATGGAATCTATTCAAAGAAGGTAATTAGTACAATACACAAAAAAAACATTCAACAACAGACATACTATGAAGCAACCTGATGAAATTGGCAACCTATGAAGCAACCTGATACTATGAAATTGGATTTGAAAGGATCAGTTGAGGTACAGATCAGCCATGATCTAATTAAATGGTAGAACAGGCTCGAAGGGCTGAATGGCTTCCTCCTGTTCCTATGATGATCAACTACTGAAGGCCAAGAGGGAATGTGACGAGAAACTTGCAGATGGTATCAAGAGTCACAGCAAGCCATTTTATAAATACTTCAAAAGAAAGAGGATGGTAAAGAGATCAATTGAAAGCAAATAAAGGTGTGATCGTTGCAGAGGATAAAGACGTGGCATAATTAATAATCTGCTTCAGTCTTCAGAGTGAAAGAGGATGAGATACAAGAGATTCACAGAATCTTAGAGTTTAGGTAGAGGGAAAAATGGAGTCCTGTAGCTCAGTGGTTAGAGCACTCGCTTTGCAAGTGAGAGACCTGAGTTCAATTCCAGGCAGAGGGCGAAACCTTGGGCAAGTTTCCTTACTCCACACACCTAATAATAATCCCTCCAAAACCAAACACAATAATTAAATTGGTCATTTTCAATCTACGACTGTTTGTGGGACATTGCTGTGCGCAATTGGCCGCCGCGTTCGCCCACAAATATACAGTCAATTCACTTTACAGTGTGTTCTGTGAAGCGCTTTGGGACGTCCTCCCGACGTGAAAAGCGCTATATCAAATGCAAGGATTATTATTATTATTATTAAATGTAAAGGCCTGATAATTAACAGAAATAGTAATGGATAAACTAATGGGTCTGATGTCTCCAGGCCCAGATGGTTTCCACCCCAGGGTATTAAAAGAAAATGAGAAGAAATTATTCAGGCAATTGGGCCTTCACCGCTTCTGCCCCCACCCTCTGGAACTCCAACCAAGAATCCCTCTGCCATACCCCCTAACGTGCCTCCTTCAAGGCCAATTTTCCTCTTTGACTGTTCTTTTGGCCACCCTCCCACCTCCCTACCCTCCAAAGCCCTAATGGATAGGGTAGTCTTAACTAGACAAGCAGCGGGATAGCTGGTCAGTGCTCTTAATGGCAAGCTATGCAGTTTTAATAATAATTTTTTGCATTTGATAAAGCACCTTATTGCAGTGTGGAGATATCTCAAAGTGCCTTCACAGGATATACTTTAAAGTGGTGTGACTGTGTGTATTTTGTGGGCAATTTGCAGTTGGTTAAACTCCATCAATATCCCAAAGCACACTCTGGCATTCACAAGCATACTCCTTGGTTCAAACAACTTCATTTCAGCAACAAGTTTTGGACTGTTCATAGAATTCTTTTAATTCTCAGTTACACAGACTTCTGCGCAGCTCTAAGACACTATCCTACTTGAAGCGTGCTACATAACCGCAAGTTGTTGTTGTTACTCCATCACACCAGGTTCCACTGACTCCCAAATACCGAATGGATTGATTTCAAGATCCTCTCACTCGTTTTCAAATCCCTTCATGTCCCCTACCTATCCGCTTTGCTTAACACCCCCCCCACCACCACCCCTGCTGTTTGTCCCTCATCCCAACTTTTTTTTTTCTCTTGATCGTGCTTACGGTCACCTCCCCCCTCCCTCTGGCTTGGTGTCAGACTCCACCAGTTATACACACACTCTGTGACACAACCTCGCATGACGGGCACTATATAAATGCAGGTTGTTGTTTCATATTTATTTCTACTTTTATACTTAATCTATTTTGCTTAATAAATATCACTGCTGTGCCACAATTGACTGCCGGGTTTCACCCACAAAATATACAGTCAATTTGCTTTACAGTATACCCTGTGTAGCTCTTTAAGACATCAACGATATGATAAGATGCTACATCAAATACAAGGATTATTATCATTATTATCTTGAGCAATTAATGCAAAAATTAATATTTCTTCCATGAGAATTGAAACAGTGCTTCATCGTGAGGACTATGTGGCAATATATTAAATACTAAGCATTATGTTGTTTGATCCCTTTAAAGGTCACAATATGCAGAAAAGCTGTTACCCCAAATAGCTGGGAGTTATTAAATTTAAACAGGTTCTAAACGTCTTTGTTAAACATAACATTTAAAACTTTTCTGCAGATCTTCACGTCGCAGTAACATAGTTGAAATCAAGGAGGCCCTTAAGATGATCCACTTACCGACCCCTTTTCAACAACACGGTTAAGCATCACGACTGCTTTGCTTTTCTGTTCCCATACCATTAGCCAGAAATGTCCACAAGTGTTGGGAAGTGGACCCTATTAAAAGAAAACAACAACAAATTACATTTTATTGCAGCTTTCACATCAGGAGGATGTTCCAAAGTACTAGATACTCAGTCATTTGCACCTAGGCTGGGGGATGGGATTAGGAGGGTGGAGAGTAGGGGTAGGAGGGTGGCCAAAGGTGCGGTCGACGCGAAGGGTCTTGAGATGGGCCCTGCAGGAGGCAAGGGAGGGGGCGAGGCAAAGGGACTGTGGGATGGAGGACGGGGGCAGAATAGCTGAAAGCCTGACCACTGTTGGTGGGGCGGGCCAAGGGACGTGGAACAGGCCACAGCCTGATGAGCAGAGGAGTGGACAATTTGATATGGTCAGCGGGTCCCAGAGGTAGAGAAGAGCAGGGTCATGGAGGCCTTTTTACCAAAGATCTAAATAGTCACACCTAAGGAAATGTGCAGGGCTGTTCAGCATTGCAGTTCTCAACCTTTGTTGGTACAGGCACCTTTGAATGATGTAGTAGTCTTTAACAGCAACAAAATAAGCAATACAACAACAGTACAATTCACTCTCCAGATAATTCTTCTCTATGACCAAGGCCAGCTGAGGTAGTTAACATTAATTGACTAATACCATTTACATTGCAATTTTTTTTTCTAGAGGCAACTAGTTCTGTAAAAATCAACGGCTTTCCAGACTCTGGACCTTCAATTGAATCCACGTACAGAAAATCTTACTTGACAATGAAAAAAAAATCACTGAAGCAGAACCAGTTTACCTGACTACCCTCCAGCGATTGGTAAATGTGAAATTAGATGAATGATTTGGGGAGTCTGGGAAGAATTTTCAAGAGCAATTTCCCACCTGCGCCCAAATTGACAACATTTCTTTTCAGTTTCTATTTTTTTTAAGAAAAATTCGTTTAGGATAGTGGTCGCCAACAAAGAAGTGGTTAGAACAATGGATAGGAGGTTGAGTTGGTTGGGGGAGGAGGGGGAAAAGGGAAAGAAGAGATCATCCCAGGTGGACTTGATGAGCCATGGATGATAAGTCATATCATTTTCCTTTCTGCATTTCCTTCATCAGAACTCCTTATGATCTCAGGTGACCTCAATACAGTTAGCCGCAACTTAAGTCTGAAACATAATTATAATCCTTGTATTTGATAAAGCCCCTTATCAAGTCGTTGAAACATCTCAAAACATTTCACAGAATATATTGTAAAGTGGATTGACTGTATATTATGTGGGGGGGAGGGGGGACGGAAATGAGGCAGCCAATACGAAGGTAGAAAAAGAGGACCAGGAGAAGGCTATTCAGTCCATCGAGCTTGTTCGATCAGTTTATTAGCTCTTGGCATTTCTTTTTATCCCAATGCCCCACCTCTTAATTACCTCTATCTTTCTCTCTATCAATCAATCTTTACTATTCATATCTTCACACCTCTCTGCATGAAGAAATGACACTTAACTTCAGTTCTAAGTCTTTATTCAGATTTTAAAGCTCTACAGCTCAGGTATTAATTGACTGAACTTTCACTGGTGATCCTCCAAAGCTGGTATATCCTTCATATCGTGGGAACTTTGAAGAAGCATGTTATATTGGTCAGCAAACTGGTCTCTAACCCTTCTACCTCTCTGACCTATTATCCCCCTACCTCCCTCCTACCTCTCTGACCTACTATCCCCTACCTACCTGCCCGTACCCTCCGTTCCTCTGGCTCCGGTTTACTCCACACCCCCCGCCCCAACCGCCCTACCATCGGTGGCCGGGCCTTCAGCCTCTCAGCCCCGAGGCTCTGGAACTCTATCCCCCAGTGCCTTCGCCGCTTCCTCCCTTTCCTCCTTCAAGGCCGGTCTCAAGACCTTTCTCTTTGACCGTGCCTTCAGCTCCCCTCTCGACTCTCTACCCCCTCCTCGCTCCCTCCCTTCCCTCCCCTCACCCTGACCATTTCCTCCCTGCTCGGGTCCTGACCCAACTGTACAGCGCCTTGGGACGTCCTCCCGACGTGAAAGGCGCTCTATAAATGGAATCTTGTTGTTGTTGTAACGGCATCAGAAACAAGAATCTATTATAGCATTCATTTAAACTACTTGCTTGTGATTCAAAATAGCTTAAAATAGAGCGAGTTCTCATGGGACTCTTTCCAGAACTACAAACGACGAAACTTGGTAATCAGTACATCATGCCAACTCCCAGGAACTCCATTCTGACAAATCTATTTTGAGAGCAGAGTTCTGCCAGTCAGCATGACTTACTGCTAAGCTTGGTCGAGGCTGTAGCCCTCTGGAATCACAAGTGGTTAGTTGGCAAAGGAAGCACTGGAAAAGATCCACAAGATATCCAGATATCATAGACAACAAGTATTGGAGGAGGCCACGGGATCATCATTACCCCAACAATGTACAAGTACACTCTCCAAATGAAATTTTCACCATTTGAATGACAACCTGTTCAATTGTACGTGAATATTGAACAATTAAGAAATAAGCATTTTTATACAAACTGTAATGATTTCAATATTCTCACTTAATTTTTGTAACAAACATGTTTTGAGGTTCATTTTATATCTACCCACCTGAGTTAAAATGTAGCTTCGTTGGGCCTCTTCCTCTACAATTAGACTTGCATTGATATAATCATTGTCTGGATTCTGAAGTTTAACACGACTGTGGTCAACTGAAATTAAAAAGCGCAATATTTAGTACAGATTTTTATACACACAGCAAAACTCACGTCACAGCAGTCAGGGCCACAACATTTCATATGATTTACATGAAGTCCAAGTTACAAGCATGTAGTTTTGTCCCATTGCCACACGCGTGCTTACCAGCTGCATTGGAATCGCATTGAATCACCGGAAATTACTTTTTTTTTTCTGCGTATGTGGCGACGGGTCAAGACTATGTTTCCTGCAATTCAATGCAGTAAGTGCAGGATTAATGGAGGATAGGGAGTGGCATTATGAGTTAGAGGATGATTAATACAACTAGTGCAAAGAAATCTAATAATAATCCTTGCATTTGTCTTCAAGACATCCCAAAGTGCTTCACAAAATATACTGTAAAGTGAATTGACTGTATATTTTGTGGGCCAAACGCAGCAGCCAATTATACACAGCAGTGTCCCACAAAAAGTCATGGATTGAAGTGACCAATTTATTATTATTTTTTGAAGGAATTATTACCCATCCAGAAAAGTGATTTGACAATCGACTAACAACCGGGTTCCTGCTTACTGCTAGGTAAATAATAATAATAATAATAATCCTTGCATTTGATATAGCGCTTTTCACGTCGGGAGGACGTCCCAAAGCGCTTCACAGAACACACTGTAAAGTGAATTGACTGTATATTTGTGGGCGAACGCGGCAGCCAATTGCGCACAGCAATGTCCCACAAACAGTCGTAGATTGAAAATGACCAATTTATTATTGTTTTTGTTTTTTGGAGGGATTATTATTAGGTGTATGGAGTAAGGAAACTTGCCCAACATTTTGCCCTGCTGGGAATTGAACCCAGATCTCTCACTTGCGAGGCGAGTGATCTAACTACTGAGCTTCAGGACTCCACAAGCGGTTTTGATAGGAAACTGAATGGCATATATGACTTCGGCGATTATACAATTTATAAAAATAAGATGTATGCAAGTTTTACTCCCAAGTCACTGGACAGTGTACAGTATTTCAGACCCGAGCTGGGGTCGGGGGGGGGGAAGAAGGGAGGAGTAGGGGGGTGGCCGATGGCATGGTCATGTGCCATGCAGGTTTGTCTGAGTTTGAGATTAAGTTGTGTCATTGGAAAAGAGGAACTTTATTAAGCCTGGCCTGTGTTATAGCATTGTCATAGCACAATGGGCCGAATGGCCTCCTTTTGTTCTGTAAGATTCCATTCCAAAGACAACAACAAAATTACATTTGTATAGCGCCTTTCACGTCGGGAGGACAACCCGATGATCTGAAAGTGGATTTTAGTGCAGGAAGCTGGCTAGTCAGTGCTGGAAGCCAGATAGTAAACAACTTCCAGTTAACATGCGTCAACAGGAATACCAAAGGGTGTAATGAATCCACTAATTCTTTTAAACGTATTGGGTCTCCTACACATTTATATGTAATCATTCACAGGCGGGGTCAGAAATCTCAATTCAAACACGCTCATTTGTTATAATATTTCTTTCAAAAACAGTACAAATAATTAGGCATCATGTAAAATACAAATTGGCTACATCGTTAACAAATTTACATTTTCTGCATCACTACACTCAGCCAGCCCTTCACTCTGTCACTCCAACTTTCTATCTCTCTCGCCCTCTCTATATATAAAATATACATCCATGTCTTTTTCTAGCGAAGGGGGGATACAATGTAGTGAAAATATAAAAGCAACTTGTGTAGCAGCAAAACAAATCCAGTTGTGCTGATATATGAAGATGCATGCAAGGTTGATAAGCAGATCTATTTGCATCGGCAGTAATCTTGTGCATGACTTCTTGCACGCGAACATCAGGTTTTTTTTAAAAGAAACTGAAATTATAGCCCTACATCCACTTCCGCAATGAAGCAATACGGATAAATGGGCAAGCCAATAATTGCCATATGGATAACTGATGCTGTACTGGATTTAATTGAAGGCAACCTGTTCTCAAAAATGCCCAAATAAAACCACTTTTCATTGTTTCACGATGTCTTTCTAAGTGCTCCGAGATGCCCTCCGGTGTGAAGGGCAGTACATAAATTCAAGTTGTTTATAAGCTATAAACAGATCTAAGCAAACTCTACAATCAAATTCTGCAAAGCAGCCACTAAGTGGCACGAGAGAGCAAAACAGGATGATGTTGCCAATACCAGAGAGAAACAGCAAACTGTTCAGGTCAGACTAGTAATTAACCAAATGGAAAATACTGACACATCCTACCAGATTTAGTCATAAAGTGGTATTTGGGGAAGGCACTCAGAAACACTGCAGTTAATGCTGATTAATATGCACCAATGTACTGGGACCTCTTTCCACCCCACCCCCATACATACAAATGATCTAGATTTAGATATAGGGGGTATGTGAATAGTGAAAAGGACGGCAAGTGACTGCCAGAGGTATTAATTAAATTAGCGTAAAGGCAGATGAGGTTTAATGAAGCAAAATGTGAGGTTTCATTTCGCTAGGAAAAAAACGAGGGCATGGAATATAAACTGCTAATTCTGTTAAAGAACTACCTCTATTCAGCAACCACTTGCTTTTCAAGAACCACTTTGGAACAGTCTCAACTGATTTTCCATGAGTTACCTGTATTCAGCAACCATTGGTTTAAAGCAACCAACTCTTTTTATTTTTAAAGCTCTATTGGTAAACTGATGCCCTTTTCAGCAACCAGATCTGGTCTGGTGGCTGCTCAGCACGGCATTGGCGTACACTAGGAGTCTACACATGGGCACATGAACATTTTTAGCCTGCTGAAACTATACCGATTTTCATTTTGTAATCGATTATCAAAACTAGTTTGATTTACGGGTTAGTATGCTCACCGTATATTTCTACACACATCGACATACCCTTAGTCAGAGACCATCCTTACATATAGGCCACCTTGGTCCAGTCCCGAGTGGTTACAGAAAACAGGTTTGACTATATTAATGGCAATATTTTGGAAGGATGGAGCAGAGTAAAGGGGCTTGGGAGTGCAAGTACAGAAGTTCCTGAAAGTGGCCGTGCAAATGAATGAATACCAACATCTAATAGTATTTTGGGATTTACATATACAAGCATAGAGAACAAAAGCAAAGCCATAATGCTAACTTTATACAAATCATGGGTTAGGCCATACTTGAGTGTACTGCATTCAGTCTTGAGCATCTTATTTCAGAAAATAAGTTACAGATGGAGGGGGGGAATGCAGATGAGATTTACAATAATGATACCAGGGATGAGGGGTTTTAGTTATGAGGGGCGATTGGAGAGAATGGATCTAATTTCACAAGAGTAGAGAAGTTTGAGGGGACCTGATAAAGGTGTACAAAATTAAGAGGATTTTGACAGGGTAAATAGGGATAAGCTATTTTCACTGGGGCCCAGTTATAAAAGCAACAACAACAACAAGATTACATTTGTATAGCCCCTTTCACATCGGGAGGACGTCCTAAGGCACTGGACATTGTACAGCATTTCAGACCCGAGTTGGGGTCAGGGGGGGAGAAGGGAGGGGAGGGGAAGCGGGGTGAAGGAAGGGCAAAGCTGAAATTTCTCAGTTGTTGGGATATCGTATGCCCTGGGGCTTTCAAGAGGGGATAAGACAGGGCAGTGGGATTGAATGTACACCTTGCTCTGAGAGCTGGTGAAGACTCGATAGGCCAATTGACTTATTTCTGTCATATAAGTTTCTCTGAACTTGAAAAGTTTTGGCAATGAATCAGAGGGAGTTTTGAAACTGAGCTCACGATCAAGCAGAATGCTAAGTTTGTACCATGCTCTACTGCACTGCTATATACAAAGGGAGCCCGGTATAAAGCACCTTGCTAAACCGCAAGTCCACTTGCAGACCCATTAAAACAGTATCTAATTTTATGGACCCCCAGTCAATTCACTTTACAGTATATACTGTGAAGCGCTTTGAGACATCTCGAAGATGTGATAAGGCGCTATATCAAATGCAAGGATTATTATTATAATATGAGGAAATGTAGAGATTAAAATTTTTCATAACTTTGCAGTTTGATACAAAATCTTAAAAGGCAAACAATCGCTAACTTCAAAATGATATGAAGGCAAGGCAAGAAACACATATAACTGATAATCTGCTTTTTTAAAATAAAAGTAAGCATTTGCAGGAAAGCACAACTGGCATCTGGTTTACAATCAACATATCAAAATGCAAATTGGTAGTTCTTCTAAATTATGTAGGTTTCAGGAAGTGATATTCAGCTAGTTTCTATATTGTTAAGGAACCAATAATGTTTCCACGCATATACATACAAAGCTTGCATTTCAAGGGCCAACAGGAAAAGTTCTACCCCTTCTGGTAAACTGAAGCTGCAGTTTTCCTGGAAAGGTGACATCACCATGTCAGAAAGGCAAACCAATGCAATACCATGAAGCTAGTGTTGCAACCTACACACAAACGCTACTTAACCACGAGAAAGAAATATCTGAACATTACATCAATCATGAGTTTTTTTTGCTCTCATTGATACAGCGTTTGAAAATACAAATGATAATTGTAAAGATTCCAATTTCACTGATATGTAATTTCATTCTTTCTATCTTAGTTTTCAGTTTCAGTTTCACATTTAAGAAGGCATTTCTGCTAAGAATAATGTTATTACTCTTGTAATGGTAGGTCATATTGCATAGCACATAATACACCTGTAGTTAGACACAGGATCAAAACTGTAGTATTCCCAAATACATTCATTAAGGAACACCTTTAAATGTACTTTGCGAAACACTGTGCCCGCTCTGCTGAATAAATGGAAGTAAAAATGGTACAGAATTTGGAATTGCTCTACACAAAAGTCTCACTATTCTTACAGTGCTGTGTGCACATTCACCACCAATAACTGAAACTAGAGTGGTGACACATAGCAGCAGAGTTTACCCAAAGGACTAACATTTTGAAGAACTAAATTCCAGTGAATTTGCGATTACTTCATTCTTTCTAACCACAATCGATTATTTTGGAAATTCCCCTCCTTTGCAACAAGTTTCATTCTCTGAATGAGATTAGGACTAGCACAATGTGATGTCATGGCAGACATGGAAATAGATGCTGGTCTTTTAAAATTTGGAAACATAACTGTTATTAGGATTATTTTAAATCTTTTAAAAAAAGTTTTTTTTCCACTGATATAATTACTGTTCCGCCTCCCCATAAAACTGAAGTAGTGTTGCATTATATTAAAGGTCATTTAATATTCAGGAAATGCAGTTATAATAATCCTTGCATTTGATTGAGCACTTCATGTCAAATCAAAACATCCCAAATAGAGTTCACGGGGCAGGAAAAAGGATACTTAAGGAGGTTGACCAAGGGCATGACAAAAGAGATACATTTTAAATGGCCTTTAAAGATGGGGAGAAAGATAAGCCAAGTTGAAACTGGATTCAAGGGTTTTGAGACATGAAATTACATTAGAAGAGAATTTGAAATGACGTACAGAGTGGCTCCAGTCTTGGCCATCCCTTAATAACGATATAAGAAGTGAAGAATGAACAATAGACCAGAATCGGAAGAGGTGAGTGCGGTGGGAGAATAGGGCTGGAAAGATTATTTCAATTATCATGAAGCGATTTGAAGGGTGAGCCGAGGAAGTGAAGCCACTTGTGATTAAGGAGTGAATGAGAGTTTTGGCAGTGGCGCAGGTTGGGTAAGAGTCTGAGCAGGCAATGTTTCAGAGATGGATAAAGCCAGTGTTAGCAATGGGCCAGATGTAAGGTTTGAAACAATTCTCCAGGTCAAGCAAAGTATCAAGATGTCAAAATGTTGTGAAAAGCAAAATTGATTGTTCCAGTCTGATTGACATTAAGATGAAGGTAATTAAGCAAGAAGACAACGAGAAAGAGAAAAATATACTGAAAAGCGATGGTACCGCAGTAAAACAAAACTCGTTAACACTGAAGATGAGCAAATGAGCCGAGATGATAGTACTAGAAAGAACATGGGTCTTTCTATTAGGTTAAAAATCTTCTCAAACAATCAACAGCTGAGAAACACAGATTACATCAACTCGTGATCAGGTCTGCTACATGTTCCCTGCCTCACCATCGGTGGGTGAGCTTTCAGCCACGTTATCCCGCTCTCTGGAACTCTCTCCCTAAATCTCTTCACTTCACTACCTCCCTCTTTGCTTTCAAAACTCATCCACAAACCTCCATATTAAGTCAAACTAAAATTCTATAGCTAGTCTTCGTATGTAATGCATTATCCTTCCACAATTGAACACACCAGCCATTGGAGCACTGAAAATACAGCTGGTCGGGGGAAGGAAGATTTGAATAAACAAAGCACCCAGAAAAACGTTTTGCAATTAGTAAGAATGTCAAGTTCCTGTAAACTATTGAGGGCTCACAGAGAAGCTCTCAAAACTGTTTCTCAAAAGCTAGATCATCCAAATATGGATAGATTATGTAAATGGTGCAGCTGGGATGAGCTGCAAAGTATTTCATGAAGACTTAGAGGAGAAGTGAGAGAAGAAATTCAACGATCTTTTGCATCCCATCCAGATGTCAAAAGGCAGTTGCTCTGGCCTGTTGTAAACATCAAAGAAATGTATTTTAAAACACTTTAAATAACTTTTTTTATCTTATGATAAATCACCACCTAATGGACTACTGCTGTTCTCTGGTTTGGAAGTTAGAGGTCACAGTTATGTGCGATGGGGTAAATTTGAGGCTGAATGAGTCCCAAAATGAAACACCAGTCTGCCTGCTTTGGGGCAGTGTGTTGGGTTATCCTCGAATTATTGAGTTCCTTGATTTGTTCCTTAATCTCAAATCAGCCACTTGTAAAAATTACAGATATGCAGCATACTGAGATTTATGATCAAATAATCACTGAAGTAATGAAACCTTTGGCGATTGGCCAAAGACAACAACTTGCCTGACAGTGTTCGCAATGGCAAGCTATACATTTCTTGCTGGTTAAACTCAGTACCCCAACAGACACTCTAGGATCCCCAAGCCTTGGTTCCTGTCAATCTACATCAAATACTTTAAGTAAACAGGATGCATCCCTCTGAGAATGCACACTCCATTCCAGACAATAGGAAATTTCCATCTTAATGTGGCCTGCATATGTGGAACTGTCTGGTTTTGATATTCTTAAGCATAGAGATTGCATACGTCAGCCTCCCGGCAAAAACGCAAGGTTGCTGCAATTTGTTATGCGTGCATGTCTTTTGTTCGCTGATCACGGCAACCTAAATAATGAGAGCAGAATCAGACAGTTACTTCCTACATTTCAGTTCCCTCTTATTTTTAGCTCCACAGTCATGGTGATCTCAACTTAGAAAACAAATCTAGCATTTATACATGTTAACACACGTTTCAAGGCTTCTCTTTTTTTGATCAGCTGGATGTCTGACAATTGCAGAACCACCCCCCCACCCACCATGCTTAAGAACATCAAAACAGTTCCACATAAGTATAACACCTACATATGGAAATCCCCTGGAATGGAATGCGCACTTGCTCCCTGGAGTGGACGTACCCAGTTCCCTAATTATGCGTTTATTGGCACCATGCTGCCCTGCCTGGCAAGTTGTTGTCACCAATGGTTATGTTCCTTTTCGAACAGAATTGAGGAAACACTTCTTCACTCACTCAACTTTATGGAATTCTCTACCCCAGAAGGCTGTAGATGCTCAGTCCTTGAACATATTCAAGACTGAGATTGATAGATTTCTAAAGGATAAAGGGATTAAGGGATATGGGGATAAGGTGGTCAGATGGAGTTGGGTTAGATGATCAGCAATGATCTTAGTGAATGGTGGGGCCGGCTCAAGGGGCTGAATGGCTTACTCCTGCTCTTAATTCCTATGTTCCTAAAACAAGGCCTGGGGACCCCAGAGAACGCATTGGTGTACTGCTGTCATTCAACCAGCTAAAACCACATTGCATCCTTGAGAGCAAGCTTCCTGCTGATAAGACCATTAAAGCCCATTTCCATTCACAAAATAAAATGAGGTATTTTGGGGACTGGGGTTTGAAGTCTATTATTTTTTCTCTCTCGCTGCAATGCCGGTTCCAACAGAGACAGTTCCAGAACACAGTTTCAGATGCACACGCAGGCACACAATCACCAAAAGAAAAGCAAATCTGGATGGTTTGGGTGAAAATGTTTACCGATCAACTTTTCACTGAAAATAAGTAGGTATTTCCAGGTGACTTCTAAGAAAGCTGATTAGCGGAGTTATAGAAATCAATCTTAAAATCTTGCACACTCCGCCCCACCATCAGAGGTCGTGCTTTCAGCCATTACACCCCAAAACTCTGGAACACTCTCTCAATCCCTTCACCTAGCCCCCCTCTCTCAAGTCCCGCCTGAAGACTTTCCTGTGCGATCGTGCTTATGGTCACCTCCCCCCTCCCACCGGCTCGGAGTTAGGCTCCGCCACTGTTAAGCCCTCTGAGACGCTTTCCTACGTGGAGGGCGCTATATAAGTGCAAGTTGTTGTTGAAGAGGGGGTGTCAAACTGACCCCAGGAGAATTGACAGATACCGATTCTTCATATATACTTAGCTGAATAAAATATTAAATATGAACCAGGAAACATTATCTAAGGCGGCTCTGAGGTGGAGACACATGTTGCATCACTAAATTAATATCAATTCTTTGACACTCTAAGGATACCACTAAAAGCATCCTGTTATAAAGTAACTTCTTTGTAGCTCAAAGGCTGGACTCGCATTTACTCCACATATGCTTCCATCGGCAGTCTTCTGTGCTTAAACGGCAAACATCCTGCTCATTAGGTCAATACCAACATCACTTCCCGTCTACTACACACATGTAAAGCTGGAAATGACATCACTATGACCGGGCCTGGATGTCTTTTTTTTAAAAAAATGGGAATCCGAGGTGCAGGCAACGAGCCAGCCGGCTAGGGACATGGAGTGAAACCATACACTGCACTTCCCTGCACTGTGGGTTAGGATTTTAAGGATGCCAACCACAGTGATATAATGATGCCCCATTACATATTCTCTTTCTGCAGAAAAAATTACCATCCAGAATCTAAGACTAATCAGAGCAACAAGAGCTATGCAGCTTTACTTACAAGGACTGACATCTCTATAACGATTTAAATTCCGGTTCTCTGGAGATTTTGCCACTCTATAGGGGAAATCTTGGGATTCATTTCGAATTTCCTGCGATTAATAGAAAAAAATCTTCATTAACAGTTGCACACAATAGTGTATCGTTGTATTTTTATCAAATTCTTATCTAAAACTTATCCCGTTTTAATTGCAAGGTGAGCGACATTAAAAATACTTGCATTTGATATAGCACCTCATCACATCGTTGAGACATCTCAAAGCGCTTCACAGAATATATTATAAAGTAAGTTGACAGTGTATTTTGCGGACGAAAATACAGTAGCCAATTGCACACAACAATTTTATTTTACTTTACCCAGTATATATTAACAAAATCGCCCATGACAAACAGACATTATTAAAGCTAAAGTACAAAACATTTCTTTTGGTCAGCCAAGAATCTTAACACATATTTAAGAGTTCTAACAACTTTTCCTAGTATAACAGTACATATTCTTTGTCAGTCAACAGGTGTGTCCATTGGCAAAAACCAAGAAAATAGGTACCCCAATGTGCACATAGGGTATTGCTGAAGTTGAAGCAGTTGAAATCACACAGAATGGTAAACTTCCTGAGAATTGGTCATCTGTAGACCTACCTGACTCATGTATTTGATCACTGAACTCACCACAGAAATAGTTTCGCTTCACCAGGTGCATCACCTCAGAGAGACCTCCTCTCCACAAATAGATGGAGAGTTGGTACTAGGAATTCTTCTCAAGAATTATGGTGAGTAACAGAGCTGTATATAAAAAGCGTGCAAGTGGATTGCCACCATCCTCCAGATCAAAATCAGTGCATAATAATAATACTGCTTACATTTGATATAGGGCCTGCCTTATCACGTCTTTGAGATGTCTCAAAGCGCTTCACAAAATATACTCTAAAGTGAATTGCCGAAACACGGCAGCCAATTGCGCACAGCAGTGTTCCACAAACAGTCGTGGATTGAGTAACCAAATTATTATTTGAATTTTTTTTTAAATTTTAAATTCATCCCCACTCCCCCACGCACACTCACACATAATTGAGGCTCCACCAGCTAAATGTGATTCATGAACAGTTGCTTTGCATTCTGCTTCACTTAAGATACAAAATACATCCAATTTGTTAAAAAAGTACACCAGTGAGCCCACATTCCCAAGTAATGCTCAGCAACATTTGTCCCAAGACACTTTCTTCAGTCTTCTGATGAAGATCTGCCTTCTGCATAGCATGGAGTTCTTTGCAGGGCAGCTCATACCACATCAGTAACCATGATATTCCAGAGGTCCAAATCCAATGGTGCCTACCATTTCTACAAACAGAATACAGGCAGGAGTCCCCTCTTCCAGAAGCAGTTTTCCATAAATCCAGCTCATAACTTGGTCCTGGGTCTCATATTTGGTCTGCAAGAAACATTCATGGCATTCGTCTTGCACCTCCAAATTTATAAAGGAGAATTTTCTGAATCTTGTACATTATGCCACATATGTAACCTGCATTGGAATTGCTTTGCTTGAAGAGAAGCAAAAGAAATCCAGAGAACCTTTTACTCTTTCCCTGCTCATTCCGAACTCTTGTGGAAATGAAAGCTGGCATCCAGCAGGAAGCTCTAGGTAGTAAAACAAACAGAAGAGAGGCTCCCTTTATCTTCCAAATAATAAGCTTCTCAATCCTTGTTGAGCCATAAGAATGTACTTAGAGGCTCCTACCACCTTATTTAACTGGCTAGCAAGACATTGAGTGGAGCACACAAGATCCCTGGGCAAGACAACCGCTCACACTTCAGCAAAAAGAAACAACGTAATACAAACACTCCCAGGCCATACCTCTAGATGCTATCAAACACATCCATGTTGAAGACGACCCATTACCCAGACATCTGCCCCTCTTTTTAAAAAAAAGTGAGATGGTAAAATGACTAATCTCCAAGACACAAGGTCTTTGGTGACATCATATCCTGCTCTGTGCATACCACCAACTCAACCCAGTTTGACATTTGCAGATATGCACATACAAGGATACAAATAATTGAATTGTCGGAACAAAATCACTGTGCTGGATCTCTCTGACTACTTCCTAATCGCAGATTCAGTGCAGTCGAGCAGACTTGCAGTTAATGCACCATTCAGTTGTTGGGCATTCTCCTGTACCACAATTACAAACACTAATGTTGTACTTCTGAAATAAATGTCCTTGATGATGTCATATCCATTGTACACAATTTTTAAAAAAATGCAGAAATATTATTCTGAAACCCTTTCCAATTCTACACACCATATTAAGCAGTCAACACCATTTACTTTTCAGTTTTGATGAAATACCTCTTCAATTCTCCCAGACATGGTCCCATCCCTCCTGTGCCTAATCTACTCTCAGGCATCTGCTGTCCCACTCTTCAACCAGAAGGCATCAACTAACTGGATGGTGCTTTAGTCCCAGAAACTGCAGGATACTAACACTGTGTAACAAACATGAAAATATTTCATTTCCCAGCATTGACATCAAACAATAAATAAATGTATCTTTATATTATCTGTGCACGGAAGTCTTTGTAACAGAGAAGATTCAGGTGATTTCACATGCCCACCTCCTTAAATTCTATTCTGCTCCCCTGCCCCAGATTCCTGCCAATCACAAACTGAATCAAAGTGAGAAGAGCGTAGGAGGTCAACTATTCAATGAATAGAGAAAGCATCAAGTCACAGGAAGTTAGAAAGAACTTGCAAAGGGTACTGATTTGATATTACCCGGATTCCCCCCATACATTCCAGATGCCATATCACAGCAAGGACATCCTGGCATTGGAAGGAACAGCAAAAGGCAACTATCTTTGAATTAGCACCAGTTATGAATACCTACAAAAGCTAAAATATTTATATCAATTACAGCAGAGCAGGCCCAAGTGAGATCTCTGAACACTTTAAGGTCTTAAAGAACACATACAAACTAAACTATTTAATACATTATGTTTAACATGACAAAAAAAGGGAACAAACTCAAAAAGTAGATAGTCCAGATTTCATTACTTTATACAGGCAGTAACATGTGATATGACAACCCCAGGCTTCTCTTTTCCCACCACTAACCATCTCCTCCATTCACCTTTCCATACCTAGCCCATCCTCTCCTCAAACTCCAACTGTGAGGAGATGCTGGACTTCCTTGAATCTAAAATCAAGGGGATACGTTCAGCCACCTCAGCCCCATCCACAGCCAAGCCCCTCCCTCACCTTCTATACTCCTTCAACCCTATCTCTCCCTCCTCGCTCACCACGACTGTCCGCAAACTCAAACCCACCACCTGCTCCCTCGATCCCATCCCCAACTCTCTCATCGTCTCCCAGCTCCACCTTCTGGTCCCTCGCCTGTCCGATGTCATTAATCTCTCCTTTTTCACCGGTTCAGTTCGCACCCCCCTAAAAACAGCCGTCATCACCCCCATCTTGAAAAAACCTTCCCTGGATCCATCCCTTCTCTCCAGCTACCGCCCCATCTCTAACCTCCCATTCCTCTCCAAGGTCCTGGAATGAGTCGTCGCGTCCCAGCTCCGCTCCTTTCTCTCTCACCATTCCCTCTTTGAACCCCTCCAATCCGGGTTCCGCGCTGCCCATAGCACTTAAATTGCCCTGGTCAAAGTCACTAATGATATTCTGAACATCTGTGATCAGGGCTCCCTCTGCCTCCTTGTCCTCCTCGACCTCTCTGCCGCCTTCGTCACTGTCGACTACTCCACCCTCATACACTGCCTCTCCGCTTTACTCAATCTTCACGGATCTGTCCTCGCCTGGTTCGATTCCTATCTCTCTCACCGTCTCCACTTTGTTTCCTCTAACGGTTTCTCTTCCAGCCCCGCACCGTCACACTTGGTGTCCCCCAAGACTCTGTCCTTGGCCCTCTCCTCTTTAATATCTACATGCTCCCCCTTGGTGACATCATCCACAGACATGGGGTCAACTTCCACATGTATGCGGATGACACCCAACTCTATCTTTCTGCCTCCACCCTCAACTCCAGGACCACTGCTGTCCTGGCAGACTGCCTTTCGAACATCAAGTCCTGGATGAGGGCAAATTTCCTACCAGACTACTCAGTCTTGAATGTAAACAAGACTGAGGTCCTCCTGATTGGCTCGAGCCAGTGCCTCAGCATCTCAGGCTCTGGCAGAATCAACCTCCATGGTTGCACACTACAACTCACCGCCAGTCAGGAACCTGGGGCCTTGTTCGACCCTCAACTGTCTTTTCTCCCCCACATTCAAGCCATGACCCGCTCTGCCTTCCCTCACTTCCGTAACATCGCCCAATTCCGCCACTACCTCACCCCTCAGGCCACTGAAACTCTTGTTCATGCCTTCATCACCTCCAGGCTCGACTATGCAAATGCCCTGCTTGTCGACCTTCCCAACCCCTCCCTCCACAGGCTACAGATAATCCAGAACTCCGCGGCCCGTGTCCTCTCCCGCACCAAACTCTGTGACCGCAACTCCCCCACTCTCACCCAACTCCATTGGCTCCCTATCCTTCAGAGGATCCAGTTCAAGATCCTGGTGCTCACATACAAAGTCCTCCATGGCTTCGCCTCTGCGACCTCTTGTTGTTGTTGACATATTTCACTATGGGAAGACAACTCAAAGCACTCCAGAGAATAGACTGTAAAATGTACTGACTATGTATTTTTGTAGTGAAGCCTGGTAGACAATTTACACACAATGTCGTACAAACAACCATATGAATGACCAATGACCAATTTTATCTGGGAGATTGTCAGCCGGGACACAAGGAAAAACTCCCATCTATTTTGAATTTGTGCCATGACATCTTTAAATTCCACCTGAACAGGCAGACTCTTTAATGTCTCATCCAAAGAACGGCACCTCCCACAATCCAACTCTCCCCCAGCAGTATAACCGAATGTCAGCCTAGACTATACAAGTTCAAAATCCTGACATAACCCTTCTTAATTAGGGTTAGGATAAATCTTAAGATTTATTTGAAATGGCATATTTAATTAAAACGAATTGCATTCTCATTAAAATCTCATCTGTTGGAAAAACATTCTATAACATTTGAACCAGAAAACTACAGACATGTACAGCACAGAAGAAGGCCACTTGGCCTATCGTGTCTTGAATAAACATGGTTAAAAGAAAAACAGTCATTTAATCTACGACAGTTTGTGGGACACTGCTGTGCGCAATTGGTTGCCGCGTTTCACTCACAAAATACAGTCAATCCATTTTTTTTACAACATAGTCCGTGAAGCGCTTTGAGCCGTCTCAACAACATAATGGGAGTCCTGTAGCTCAGTGGTTAGAGCACTCGCTTTGCAAGTGAGAGACCTGAGTTCAATTCCAGGCAGAGGGTGAAACCTTGGGCAAGTTTCCTTCCTCCACACAGAGCCTAATAATAATCCCTCCAAAACCAAACACAATAATAAATTGGTCATTTTCAATCCACGACTGTTTGTGGGACATTGCTGTGCGCAATTGGCTGCCGCGTTCGCCCACAAATATACATACAGTCAATTCACTTTACAGTGTGTTCTGTGAAGCGCTTTGGGACGTCCTCCCGACGTGAAAAGTGCTATATCAAATGCAAGGATTATTATTATTATTATTATTATTCCTGTTTGATAGTGTGGTGAACATGTTCGGTGACGAGAGGAGTCGGTGCACTTGGCCTCGGGAGAAGTTCGGGACGGCCCGGAGCGGCGCGTGCGCTCTGTGACACGGACACCCGCGAGCACGAGAGCCGCGCGCAGGCGCAGTGCTGACAACAGCCGGCATCTCCGCCGCCTTCTCCTCGCAGGCGGGAGGACCAGGCCCCGATTTCCGTTCCATCAACGTACACAGACAGCCCCGTACCTGCCCGTGAAAAAAAATACACCACACACCCCCACCCCGGGCCTTCGTCTCCGAACGGTTCACGCTCCAAACCGAGTGGGGGCCGCAGCAAAGAACGAGCAAGGCCACGTCTCAACAGGCAAAACGCGAGAGCCCGACTTACCGCGAAGAGCTGAGGCCAGCGGTTTTCCCGGTCATTGGCAGCGAATTCCTCCTCCATGTTTACGCGTGTTAAAGGCGAGCTTTTTTTTATCGCGCGTTGGCGTTTTCTTGTCGGGTTTTCTTTCTTTCGTTTTTTTCTCCTTTTCTTCAAGTGGATTTACCTCACATCACATCACAACACGGCACGGCAGCCCCGGGGAGTGAGCCAAGTCCTTTCTTTTTCCCCCCTCCACCACCACCGCTCCGCTCTGCTTGACATTAAAGAGCGCCACCGAGCCGGAGTTGGCGAGGAAGTCATCCAGGCGCATGCGCTGTGTGTCAGCCCGGGGGGGGGGGAGGGGCAGTTTAAACCCGCGTCACCTGGCAACCGCGGCTCGAGCGCCAACCGCCACCGGGCCGCCCAGACACAGCGGCGCCTGCGCACTGCGGGTGTCACCAACCGCAATGGAGCATTGGTGAGTGACTCTGTGTCAGTCAGTGAGTGGGAGAGAGACTCCCCCTGTCAGTGTGTGGGAGAGAGACTCCCCCAGTCAGTGAGTGGGGAGAGAGACTCCCCCAGTCAGTGAGTGGGGAGAGAGACTCCCCCAGTCAGTGAGTGGGAGAGAGACTCCCCCTCTCAGTGTGTGGGGAGAGAGACTCCCCCTGTCAGTGTGTGGGGAGAGACTCCCCCTGTCAGTGAGTGGGAGAGAGACTCCCCCTGTCAGTGTGTGTGAGAGAGACTCCCCCTGTCAGTGAGTGGGAGAGACTCCCCCTGTCAGTGAGTGGGGAGAGAGACTCCCCCTGTCAGTGAGTGGGGAGAGACTCCCCCTGTCAGTGTGTGGGGAGAGACTCCCCCTGTCAGTGAGTGGGGAGAGAGACTCCCCCTGTCAGTGAGTGGGGAGAGACTCCCCCTGTCAGTGAGTGGGGAGAGAGACTCCCCCTGTCAGTGTGTGGGGAGAGACTCCCCCTGTCAGTGAGTGGGGAGAGAGACTCCCCCTGTCAGTGAGTGGGGAGAGACTCCCCCTGTCAGTGAGTGGGGAGAGAGACTCCCCCTGTCAGTGAGTGGGGAGAGAGACTCCCCCTGTCAGTGGGGGGAGCTCTGCAGCTCGTGTACTGTTGTGTACTGTCCCGCACCAGGCTTCGGGACCACATCACCCCCACCCTCGCTCGCCTCCACTGGCTCCCCATCCCCCAGAGGATTGATTTCAAGATCCTCATCCTCACCTACAAGGCCATTCACGGCCTCGCTCCCTCCTACCTCTCCGACCTACTATCCCCTACCTACCTGCCCGTACCCTCCGTTCCTCTGGCTCTGGTCTGCTCCACATCCCCCGCCCCAACCGCCCTACCATCGGTGGCCGGGCCTTCAGCCTCTCAGCCCCGAGGCTCTGGAACTCCATCCCCCAGTGCCTTCGCCGCCTCCTCCCTTTCCTCCTTCAAGGCCGGTCTCAAAACCTTTCTCTTTGACCTTCAGCCTTCAGCTCCCCTCTCGACTCTCTACCCCCTCCTCGCTCCCTCCCTTCCCTCCCCTCACCCTGACCATTTCCCCAATGCTCGGGTCCTGACCCAACTGTGCAGCGCCTTGGGACGTCCTCCTGACGTGAAAGGCGCTCTATAAATGGAATCTTGTTGTTGTTGTGTGGGAGAGAGACTCCCCCTGTCAGTGTGTGGGAGAGAGACTCCCCCTGTCAGTGTGTGGGAGAGAGACTCCCCCTGTCAGTGAGTGGGAGAGAGAGACTCCCCCTGTCAGTGAGTGGGAGAGAGAGACTCCCCCTGTCAGTGAGTGGGAGAGAGAGACTCCCCCTGTCAGTGAGTGGGAGAGAGAGACTCCCCCTGTCAGTGAGTGGGAGAGAGAGACTCCCCCTGTCAGTGAGTGGGAGAGAGAGACTCCCCCTGCCAAGATCAAGGGAATCCGCTCCGCGGTCACTTCCCCTCCAACTTCCACCCACCACCCACCCCTTCCCTCCCACACTCCGACTCCTACCCATCCTCCCCTACACACCTTCGTACCCGTTTCCCCACCCTCTGTCACTGAACTCATCCTATCCCTAAAACCAACCACCTGCTCCCTTGACCCCATCCCCACTCCACTCCTTATCTCCCAGCTCCACTTTCTTGCCCCACATATCACTGACATCATCAACCTGTCCCTCTCCTCTGGCTCTGTCCCCATTCCATTAAAAACTGCCATCATCACGCCCACCCTGAAAAAACCCTCCCTTGATGCGTCGCAGCTATCAAGCTACCGGCCCATCTCCAACCTCCCCTTTCTCTCCAAGGTCTTGGAAAGAGTTGTCGCCTCCCAACTGCGCTCTTTCCTTTCCACCCATTCTCTTTTCGAACCCCTTCAGTCAGGTTTCCGTGCTGCCCATAGCACAGAAACTGCCCTGGTCAAGGTCACCAATGATATCCTGACCATCTGTGACCAGGGCTCCCTCTGTCTCCTCGTCCTCCTCGACCTATCGGCAGCATTCGATACGGTCGACCACGCTATCCTACTCCACCGCTTGTCCTCCCACCTCAACCTTCAAGGCACTGTCCTTGAATGGTTTAGGTCGTACCTTTCTCACCGTCTTCACTTTGTCTCGACGAATGGCTTCTCCTCCACCCCCCGTACTGTCTCATGTGGTGTCCCTCAGGGCTCTGTCCTCGGTCCCCTCCTCTTCACCCTCTATATGCTCCCCCTTGGTGACATCATCCGCAGACATGGAGTTAACTTCCACATGTATGCGGATGACACCCAACTCTACCTTTCCTCCTCTACTCTCAACTCCACGACCACCGATGTCCTGACAGCTGCCTGTCCGACATCGAGTCCTGGACGAGAGACAACTTTCTTCAGCTCAACGTGCGAAAAACCGAGGCCCTCCTGATTGGCTCACGTCAGCGCCTCCGCACCTCAGGCGCTGACACCATCAGCATCCAAGGCTGCACTCTCCACCTCTCAAAGCCAGTCAGGAACCTCGGCGTTTTGTTCGACCCTGAGCTGTCCTTTCTCCCTCACATCCGCACCACAACTGGCACCGCCTTCCATCACCTCCGGAACATCGCCAGACTACGGCACTACCTCACCCCTCACGCTGCTGAAACCCTGGTCCACGCCTTTGTCACCTCAAGGCTGGACTATGGGAACTCTCTCCTCGCCGGCCTTCCCGCCCCTCCCTCCACAAGCTGCAGGTCATTCAGAACTCTGCAGCTCGTGTACTGTCCCGCACCAGGCACCGCGACCACATCACTCCCACCCTCGCTCGCCTCCACTGGCTCCCCATCCCCCAGAGGATTGATTTCAAGATCCTCATCCTCACCTACAAGGCCATTCACGGCCTTGCTCCCTCCTACCTCTCCAACCTACTATCCCCCTACCTACCTGCCCGTACCCTCCGTTCCTCTGGCTCCGGTCTGCTCCACGTCCCCCGCCCCAACCGCCCTACCATCGGTGGTCGGGCCTTCAGCCTCTCAGCCCCGAGGCTCTGGAACTCCATCCCCCAGTGCCTTCGCCGCTTCCTCCCTTTCCTCCTTCAAACCTTTCTCTTTGACCGTGCCTTCAGCTCCCCTCTCGACTCTCTTCCCCCTCCTCGCTCCCTCCCTTCCCTCCCCTCACCATTTCCCCCTCCTCGCTCCCTCCCTTCCCTCCCCTCACCCTGACCATTTCCCCCCTGCTCGGGTCATGACCCAACTGTGCAGCGCCTTGGGACGTCCTCCCGACGTGAAAGGCGCTTTATAAATGGAATTTTGTTGTTGTTGTTGTGTGGGGAGAGACTCCCCATGCTCCCCCTTTGGTGACATCATCCGCAGACATGGGGTAAATTTCCATATGTATGTGGATGACACCCAACTCTCTCTCTGCCTCCGCCCTCAACTCCAGGACTACTGAGGTACTGACTGACTACCTGTCCGACATCAAGTCCTGGACGAGGGACAATTTTCTCCAACTCAACGTCAGCAAGACCGAGGCCCTCCTGATTGGCTCACACCAGCGCCTCCGCACCTCGGGCTCTGGCAGCATCAGCCTCCACAGCTGCAACTCAACCTCACAAAGCCAGTCAGGAACCTGGGGGTCTTGTTTGATCCTGAAATGTCCTTTCTCCCCCACATCTGCACCATGACCGGCACTGCCTACCACCACCTCCACACCATTGCCAGACTCCGCCACTGCCACTGATAATAATCCCTCCAACAAAGAAAAACAATAATAAATTGGTCATTTTCAATCCACGACTGTTTGTGGGACATTGCTGTGCGCAATTGGCTGCCGCGTTCGCCCACAAATATACAGTCAATTCACTTTACAGTATATTCTGTGAAGCACTTTGAGACGTCGAGAAGACGTGAAAAGTGCTATATCAAATGCAAGGATTATTATTATTACTACCTCACCCCTCAGGCTGCCGGAACCCTCACCTACGCATTCGTCACATCAAGGCTCGATTACGGGAACTCCCTCCTCATCGGCCTTCCCAACTCTTCCCTTCACAAGCTGCAGATCATCCAAAACTCTGCAGCTCGTGGACTCTCACGCACCAGGCTCCCCGACCCCATCACTCCCACCCTCGCCCGACTCCACTGGCTCCCCATCCCTCAGAGGATCGAGTTCAAGAACCTCGTCCTCACTTTCAAGGCCATCCATGGCCTTGCCCCCTCCTACCTCTCTGACCTGCTGACTCCCTACCAATCTGCCCGCTCCCTCCGTTCAGTGGGCTCCGGCTGCTCCATATCTCACGCCCTATCATTGGTGGCCGGATTTTCAGCCTCTCTGCCCCCACACTCTGGAACTCCATCCCACAGTCCCTTCGCCTCGCTTCCTCCCTCGCCTCCTTCAAGGCCAGTCTCAAGACCCTCCTCTTCGATCGTGCCTTCAGTTCGCCCTCCCACCTCTCTGCCTTCCCTCACCCCTACCCCACCCCTCCCCCATGTTCGGGTCCTGACACCTGACTGTCCAGCGCCTTGGGACGTCCTCCCACCATGAAATGTGCTGTACAAATGTAAATTTGTTGTTGTTGTCAGTGTGTGAGTGTGAGAGAGAGACACCCTCTGTCAGTGTGAGTGTGAGAGATACCTTCTGGCAGCTCTGGTTCTACAGCTGACTGACATTGAGTACCTGACACTCACTATGGTACTTTGTATTGAAACTGATAACAAAAGCAAAATGGAAAAATGTTGCATCTCATTTAATCCAGGATTACAAAATACTGAGACAAAATCCAGGAAACGGAAACCCTCAGTTTTTGACCTCAGTCATGCCACAGTGGGGTGAGAAGGAGTGAGCACTAAACGGGCATCAACAACAAAAACAACTTGCATTTATATAGCGTCCTCCACGCAGGCTAGCATCCCAGAGCACTTGAAAGTGGCGGAGTCTGCCATCGAGTAGAGAGAGGGGAGGTGACCATTAGCCCGGTTGAAGAGGAAGGTCTTCAGGTGCGACCAAGGAGGGGGCAAGACAGAGGGTTTGAGGGAGGGATTTCCTGAGTTTGGGGGCATAGTGCCTGAAAGCCACCAATGGTGGAACGGAGGGCATGAAGGACAAGCCAGTTGAGCGGAGGCAATGGATGGTGGGTTGGGGAGTAAGCAGGTCAGAGATATAGGTAGATGCCAGGGCGTGAAAGGAATTGAAGATGAGTGTGAGGATCTTGAAATTGAGAGCACCTTGAATGCGAAGAGTTCAAGGGAGAGTAATGTCCAAACTGCTTGCTGCACAACTCTCAGGACACGGTGGAGAAACGTTGGGAAACTTACTAAAGTGTGAGAATTTCCTTTTCAGTAAAAATACACACGGCAAATAAAAAGTTTATTCTCATGTATGAATCAACAGAGATGAAATTCACAAGCTGGAAACTCCTTAAAAATATTATCCTGATCATGTTCTTAAGTGTCTAAAAATAATTGTAAGCCTAGCTTGATCTCCGTGTCTTGTGAAGTACATCGTATCAAGGGCAAGAGCTGAGAGGGGAGATTGGAACACAGTCCTAGGGCTGGCACTCTCTGCTTGGAACCAAAGACTGAAACCTCTAATCCAACAATCCCACAGACACAAAATTAGTCTTTCACTTAGAATAAAATAATAATATAATAATCCTTGCATTTGATACCACTGCTTTCACATCATTGAGACAATATATATCAACAAATAAATATATTTTTTGCAAAAACGTGGTTTTAGCTGGTTAGACTCAAGCAGTTACCCCAATGCACATTCTGGGGTCCCCAAGCCTTGGCTCTTGCCAACCTGCGCCTAATACTTTCAGGGATTAGATAA